TGCAGTAGTTTAGTCAGGAAAAAGCTCCGTCTGCCATTTGCATCAGGCCAAAATGCAATCCGTCACCCACATGCTGAGAAATTTTAAAGCACCCTTCCTTCTAGCCGTAGCCTGAGATGCTTTGATGCTGGAGGCAGAAAAACTGAAGAATGGCTCAGATGGTAAAAATATGACCATTGTTGTCAATTTGCTGTTCTTTAACAGAATTACAACTTTTGGACCACTTCGCTTTGTTTGATGGTCTGCTACTTTCTGGACACTTTGGGGGATGGGGTTCCCCCCGGCGGCCTGATCTGGGCTGGCAGGGAACCGATCCAATTAGCAGGGTTCCCCCCCCCGGGGGACCTAGCAACCCTATGCTGAGGTCTCTCCCCAAACCCCACCCTCACCAGGCTCCCCCCCCCCAAAATCTTCAGGAATTTCCCAACCCATATTTGACAATCTACCAATGCTGCCAGTGGGCAATGCTGCCACTGGCACCTGAGACAATTATCTAGAGCTGTCTAGTGGATGGGCCTCCCTTGCCTCCTTTCTACCATGTGGCAAACGTCTGTGTAACTCAGCGCTGAATGTGCCCATGGTTTCAGACTAGCTTGCCTTTTTCTACCTGGGTGCCCTTTGTTTCACATTGTCACATCCATTATTTGAGTAAGCTATCACTGAGGTCAACCTTTGTGATCTCTGGATGAAGAGTGCTGGGCAAAAGCAAAGCAATATTGGGAATGGGATGAAGTGTATCATCTTTGTTTATAAGGCTTGAGGCAAAGCCTTTTAAAACATATTTGACTTACGCTGGGTAATTTGACCTCTCCTCCCTTAGATAAAGGTGCCTGTCAGATTATCTGGAGTTTACCTTGCCTCTGGGATGGACATTTTTGCCTTGTGAAGAAGAGAACGTCTCTTTGCAGGCAGAGAAAATGCTGACAGGCCTTGAGAAATGCTTTGACTGTCAATGACTCAGCAAACCAAGTCTGCTCTCATATGCAAAAATAACTAAATTATTACAATCTGTAATTTTAAAGTCCAATAAAAACACAAGGTGCAAATCTATCTTGATTTGTTTCCGGTTCCAAAACTTACTCATGATTTTCTTGGGCATCAGTCCACAAGCACTGGAATCACTTTGGGCACGATTCATCCACATGTCTGCCCTGCCTCTACATTTTCTTTGCTGAGAAGTCTTTTTCCCTACTCCTTTCCTTAAATAATCAGGATTTTCAAGGGAGGTTGCTGTCGTCATCAGTGGCAACATCGGTGGTGCCGGAGCACTCCCGCTCTTTTATTTTTTTGCATGCTTATATCGATATATCAATATAATGGCTGCATTTTTAAAAAGAAGGCACTAAAAGATTGATATGTCAGATTGACAGGTTCAGCAGTTTCTCTGAATTCCCAACGCTTGCTGCCGTCACACGGAGCATTAGGCACACTAGAGAGACAGAAGATAGGCAGATTTTCCAGGCGCGATCTCACTGCCACATCTGGGAAGGGTCGAGCTCCCATGGCGAACCCGAGGCTTCCCGCGGAAGATGCGCGGTAAAAAATTAGTACCTCGGAGGTACTAGTTTCCTGAAACCGCGGGGCAAGGGCGGTCGTCTGATCGCGTTTCCGGTGGTAGTTCCGGCGCACGCCCATGTCCCCTCGCAAAAAGGTGTGTTTTTTTTCAAAGTCTCCACGGATGCGCACAAGCACCCAAGGGAGCATGCGCACATTTGAGGTTTTGTTTTTTTTTTTTAAAACAATCCCGTTTGCCCCGCACCCCACTTCTTTGCCGCGCTGCAGGACTTTGGAGTGATCGGCACCTCCCCCCTACCACGGGACCTCCACGGGACCTCCACGGTAGGTCTGCTCGCGCAACTGCGCGTTTCTTAGCCCCGGGGCAAACAGCCACGCTCCCCCCCCTGCATTTTCCTGCCTGTGTGCCCGCAGCCTTTGTTTCTTTTTTTAAAATTAAGTTTCTAACCCTTTCCCTTGTGGAGATGTCTCTTTCCCCTTATATCTTAACGATCTAAATTAAAGCTCAGAATTCAGAGAACCTGC